CTTTGCCTAACAAATTAACTTTTCAAGTTAAAAAAATGGGAATATTTAACGAGCTTATATAACATAGCAAATATAAAAACAGGAACGGGAAACAAAGGTGGGCTGCTTTGTCTTGCTGCGCTTTTCAGCTGGTGACCTAAGTAGACTGCCGATTGAGTAAGCAATACGCTTGAGGATGGAGACTAAGCCCGCTCAAAGAAGTAAATTGAGACCCAAGGCCACGTGAAATTTGAAGCTACTCAAGCCGGGCGTACTGGGGTGCAGACTGCAATCTATAACTTTCCATTTCCGGCAGTAAAACCTCTAACAAAGACCTCATTGCCCGCACATAGGGGTAATTGGTGCCAATATTTAATGGTTAGACTCTACTGTACAAAAACAGTGACAGCTTACCTGTCGTAGAGATGTTTGTTTGGTATATCTTTAAGTCACCAATTGGCTGGAAAAGAAAAGAAAGACGAGATTGTTATTTCCACACAATTGACAAAAATGTTTTCATGCGACGCGAGAGCGGCAGCAGAAGCACCTCACATACCTTCTTTTAAATATATATTTTTATTGCTTAACCTAAAGTACCGAATTAAATTTAGGTCTTTCTGCCCATGAAAAAAGATAAGGAGACGGAGAAGAGATTACCGCAGATTACCGACGTTCAGAAAATAGTCAAGGCTCTACCTCTCGGCGGTAGGATGATACCGCACTTCACATCGGCCTTCACAGCTGCTCTGGGGGATTGGCAGCCCAAGGTCCTCTAAGTCGCTGTCTCCCTACTTGACCCCTTAGCCGGAAGCAATATCGAGATCGGAGAATTATCGCCGATGGTTGCACTGATGCCCATTGCCACCCTACTGCTCACGTCAATATAGTCCCTCCATCCTACTAACGTGGCCACCATTAAAATCTGCGGTGTTGTTGGTTGGTGTATGTTGAGGTTGGTGGACTCTAGCAATAGTCGCGCCACGACCGATGGCTGCTGTGCGTCCATGACAGGTTTCCCTTGTCTCCAGGGTCGCTCCCTCAGCATACTCAAAAGCAAAGGTGCGTCCTGTTGAGGTAGTCGCCCGCTATCAACAAGGACCCCTTTTTTGCTGTCTTTGCGCATTCCCACATAAACGCTTTAGTTACCTACCGGCTTATGAGGCATATTCTGTTCAGAAAGGGCCATATTAGATCCCACAGAAATCAAAGGCCTTGACAGGCGGTAGGAAGCCTCTTGGTCTCATAATGCATGGTCGGATTGTCGCTTCAGGTCGAATGAGCAAGGGTAGTTACCAGAAGCCAAAGAGATACGGTAATGATTCCGGATACATTGTCCATACATGACAGGACTCTCAATTCTATGGTTTGCCTTTTAACTTTCCTTGATCGTCCGTTCTGTCCAAGAAATCCACACAGGTACTCGTTTGCCATCAATAGGCACCAGAGGAAGTTCGGCTCAGTCTTCGCTAACGTTTATTTACTCTCTCTTATATAGGATCCACACAAAACTCTGGTTGTATGATAGTAGGAGAAATCTTGTGTTAACTCGAGGACTGCCGCTGTGCACTGTTCTTTCTCCAAAGTTCCGTCATCTTTTCACTGGACAATAACGTTCCGAAAAGTCAACTGACTTGTCTCTCTTTTTGACCTGAACTGTCTGTTCGATGGGACTTGGAATCAAAAACCTTATGAATTTGTGACGACATGCACCTTTTGAGGCTAAACAGTGCATTGGCAGAACACAAGCTCAGTTTTCGTATGTGGGTTTCAAACCCCCAACGCTTCTAGGTCATGCAGAAAAGCCTGAGTGACCAGTACCGAGATCGGAGACCCCACTGGATAGTCGTGTATCTGGTCGCAAGAAAACCTATCAAACGTAAAATGCACTTGAAAGCGAAATATGGACAGCTCGATGAGACTTACGCACTACAATGACTTGTCCATTTCTTCGCACTTTCTCTCCACAAGTTTACCTACGATTGCGACTGCCAGGTTTTGTGGGATTAGGGTGGACAGTAACGTGACATCAAACCAAACCCCTACTTTGTTCGTGCTGAATTCCAGCCCTAAGCTTGACTAAGTAACTGCACGGTTCCACTAAGAGGTACATCAATTCAAAAAGTTTAGGCATCAGTAATACCATTCAGATAAGTTAGACGCGGGTTTGCACTGTAAATACCTAATGGATCCGAGGGAGAACTTAACCTTGCGGACGCTGGACAGTAAATTAGACTTTGCCATACTTAAAGACCTCTTATTTAAATTAATGCTATAAAAGTAATGTTTTTCTTTTAAATCAGCGGTTTTTCTGCCATTTTAGGGTCCCAGCCCACTTTCAGATCTCCGCCATATTGAAAAGAGATTTTCCGACCCTCCCAGTAGCTTTTTCAAGGTATCCCGTCTTGTCAGGGTAATAAACGTCCAGTTGTCGAGAGGCCTTCTCATTTACGTTCAAAGGCGCGCATCTTTACCTTTATCGGTCTTCTTGCATTGTTCGTTTGGAACGAGAAAAAGATTCAGAATCTGGATGCAAAACACATCATGCCTAGCATGCACATCATGCAAAATGTACTGAGGACGCTGAAGTTGGTAGGTGAAGTCCAGTTTCGCGGAGAATGTCCCTGTTATAAACAAGGCAGAGCACTCATGCTTGACTCAATTCAACAGGGAGGCATAAAGTTTAAACCAAATCCTAGCGTAAAATTAGCAGAAAATCACAAATAAATTGTCTACGTGTGGAATAAGGCCAATAGCACTCGCTTCTGCGGAAAAAACATTGACTCCGGATGTCGTTGACGAGTCGCAACTAATTAATTGAACGAATAAAACAATTTGCATCCTCACTTCTTTTATGCATTTCTGTACCGCTGAAATTGAAATTTTAAGGGTTCCTGTCCTTCACTCTAAATGTACTGACTGAATTATTTCAGTCAACCCCTTGTCGACTGTCTCACTAGAATCCGGGGCTGAAAACTAGACCAAAACAATCAGTCAAAGTTAAGGACGCAATAGAGGGGGTACTACACAAGGGACTGGAATCAAAGAATGGAGATGTTGGATATCAAGAAATCAGAAGTGACGTTCCAACAAGAAATCTAGCATAACAGCGGATTTTCACTTTGCAACTTCTTCTTAACACCAAAAACAAAACTCGATATGCAGTTCTCACCAGTATCCTGCGTAACGTTGGTACAGGTACAAAATTGGGATGCGTTTTCATATAGTCATGACTGGGTTAAGAACTCTTTCGGGACATTGGACAAAATTCACTAAGTGACAAAAAGTGTCAAAGGGATGTAGAACTGATTCAAATAGGAAGGCGCCAGAAAAGGCTTACGTGTAGACCAATTGACTGTAAAGTGCTCAACAACCAATTGAGCCGGATTCAAGCTTCAGGTGCAAATTTTGGATGTGGATGGAGTTGGCTGATACAGTCAATAAGTCATGAGCGGGAACTTCTGATTTCCATGCCTATTTCGATAAAACCGCTTGACTATTTGATTTTTTTCATTATGCGGCCCTAACATGGCAGTTAGTCCCAAAGGACAAAAAGGAAACATCCACTTCCGAGCTGAAGTTAGGATAAATCAATGAATGCCACACTAACGGGACGTTAAGCTTGAATCTGCATAAACAAATGCAGTTTGCACTCTTGACTAGGGCTTTGCAAGTTATTATTCTTAAGATCTGTTAGTTTCATGTTTTGTGCTTTAAGCAGCATCGTATGCGCTTAAAAATGGAACAGATCGCCTTAATTTTTTTTTAATGGATGAATTAATCTCAGTGCTCTTGAGATCCAAAAGCTTAGTCGGTGTGTCTAATTAAATACTGCCCAGCGTAAAATGGTTTTTGAGGATAATTTGCCAGGAACGGTTCTCTTATGGGAATAATTTAGGGAGACAGCTACATTCTAAGTCTTTTTGGGGCAACACATTTAAGTAACATATTAAAGAACCACGCATTTTCCATTTCTGCAGATGGTGTTGATCGTCATCTTTTGCATAGTTGTATTTTCTCCCAGATAGGGTATATCCAGAGTAGTAACTAATCAAGCGAGGTGAGGAATTTCTCACATGATCACAAAACGGATAACTGTCAGCGGTTAAAGATCAACTAATAATCCTAGCGCACCAGCCACTCACAATTACGTCAAAGAACGGATTTACAGGATAATTTTTTCACTAACATAAGTTTCTATACTTTAAACCATAATTTTGAAATATTTTTTTTAAATAAGAGTGTGCTTTGTGGGAAATGCAACAAAAAAAACACGAGCACTTACGGGGGTTCGGAAACGTGAGCAATTGGCTGCAAAGAGCCAGCTCTGAAAAACAGATCAATACATGATCACTGTCGTCAAAAACCAAAATTAAAACATCTATGACGGACTAACTCACTTCACATGTGACCAGTAGTGAATGTAGCTGTTATGCATCTGAATGCAAAAGTTCCATAAATAGCGCGCCTCCTGTGTGTCTTCCTGAAATAGAAATCATAATATACGTTAAAGATTTTGGCAATGCAGGCAAGCACCTGGTTAAATATGAATAGAGCTCACAAAGAGAAAGAGGATTGACTTGGCTTTCTTTAGGAGTTGAATTGTGAAGGTTTTCCGCGAGTAGGCCAGATCCTTGATTTCTTCCCATCTGAAAACAGAAAAAAACTGTCACAGTACAATACGATAGGAGAAGACAGACAGCCGAAAGGTTGATGCCGAACAGTGAGCTTTCAACTTCAAGATATTCCAATAAACGCGAAGATCAAGTATATAGTGAGTATGGATATTCACAAAATACGGTAAGCGATTGACAGAATACAAAACGGGGGAACTTCTACGTCGAAGAACATAATAGACGGCGCGTGAAATGATTCCTTGTTTAAACAAGCCGTTTTCAAAAATTTGTGATTTCCCGTGAAAAATAATGCTTATTGCATGGGTGTTGAGTATTTTCTAACAGGTTTCAGCAAGTTACAAAATGCCAGGCTTTAAAAGTTGGTGTATATTCAAGTAGAGGAACGTGAGAGTTGCAAAAAGGAATAACATCAGACAAAACTAGCGCTTCAGCAGAAAGAGGAAAGAAGAGGAAAAGAAGTGGGTATAGTAGTGACCAGATAATACTCAGAGACTAGATTTTAGTTAAAGATTTTTCTGAAGCTTCAGATAGACTGGAATCTCTGAGAAGAAGTAGACGCGATCACTGAGGCAATAAATTTATGCCCGTGGCGTTTCAGATTCCATCATCAAGGCTTACGGTGGGATTTTACCCTGCGGAACACTCATTACAGTCATTTTTGTTTTTATGGACTCCTTTACTTCTTTGTCAGGCAAAGGTATTTTAAGTAGTGCACCTCATATACCCCTAGCCCCAGCATTTGTCTTGAGGAAACGGTGGTTATAAGGGTTTTTGGTGGGGAAATAGGATAGGCAGTCATTTTCATATAAAATTCTTCACCTGATTTAGTTTAAAACATCGACCGACAACACTTCGCGGAAGCATTCAGATAGCAAATAAAGTACACTCAGCATAAAGGATATTCAAAGCATCCAAAGACATTTCTCACATCAATTAGTCGCACAAAACATGGTAGGACACATAGACCCCGTGTTTTTACAAGCTTGCTCTAATGCTTTATACATTTTTTAGACGGAAATACCTGTCAGTAACCTACTGCAAATAACTCGTAAACAAGCTTTATCCGTGGGTCTTGTTAATACATCGCAACTTGCCACATGGAAAGCTTGCATTTAAATCAGATTCGGGTGCAGTACCTTCCCGATATACGCACTAACTGTAAGACTAGCTTCGTGCATATCAGTAACAGGACTATTTAAACTGCACAGTGAAATGGAAAT